AATCTTACTGATATGATTGTATGCTTAGCTGCAGGGGTGAAATAGACCCAGTACCGATTGAAAGACACTAAAGGGGGTGAAATAAACCCAATACGGGTTAAAAGAGACTGAAGGGGGTAAACTAGACTCATTATCGGTTGAAATAGACTAAATGGGGGTGAAATAGACCCGATTAGTTTTGTCCTATTATGTATGGTATGGGGTATTTTGGGGGAACCCACTAAGCTTTGTGCTTAAAGTTTCATGTTTATGGTTTTAGGTACTTCTAGTTCGAAAGGGAATGATCCAGCATAATCGCACCACATCCACTAGCATTCTGCATTTTCTGACATGATTTGTACTATGATAACTATTTTATACATTATTACGTTTTGATGGGTTTTGAAATGAGTTTCTGTTGGTTTTTAAAATGAAATTTTTACTTAGTAACTTTTGGGATGTTATGGTAGTACCTTCGGTTACTAAGTTTTTGTATATATTCAACATATAATTAACAAATGTACATAGCTACCTTATGTTTTACTACTTTTTACATACATTAATGTCGTCACAACGCGTAACAGATTGGAATTTTAATTTTTTCTATATTTGTGCTAGTTTCTAATTATTGATTACCATGAATGTTTGAAAGACCTTTTAAGAATAAAAACAGTGATGAAGCTATATTGATCAATCATGACTATGACACCAGCAAAATATCTAATAAGGTTCCAACCTAAATCAATGAACTTTAGTTAATTTGGACTTATTTGACTTCGAGAAACACTATATGTTAAATATAAGTATATGAAGTTTATATGTCAAAAGAGAAAACACATCCGAGTTGTGGGATATCATGAGCTTATCCATTGAACAAACAATTAGACAATTACAGAACATCTAACTTGTGATCCAAGGCTGATTTTGTACAAATGAGACACGATCGATATTAATGAAAAGTAGGGCTGTGCATGGGTCGGTTTGGGTCGGTTTTGGACCCAAACCCAACCCAACCCATAAATGGTCGTTTTCTGGTTTTCAGAACACAATAGGATCAGTTTCTGATCGGTTCGGTTTCTTGGGTTCTGAGGTCGGTTTGGGCGGTTTTTTGGTTTCTTGGGTTCAACCCATACATTGACGGGTTCTGGGTTTAAACCCATGGGTTTTGGGTTCAAACCCATTTTCCAAAAATAAAGCAAGAAGTTAAATACTTCAAAAAACACCAAATTGAAGTTAAATACTTTAAGAAACATGAGTCTTATAACCAAATAATCTATTATAAGTTACAACCAAAGCCTCAAATAATCTATTACAACAAAAACACAATCAAGTATGGGTTGGTTTCTTGGGTTGGATGGATCGGTTTCGTGGGGCGGTTTGTCGGTTTTAAGTATGGGTCGGTTTCTTGGGTTAGATGGGTTGGTTTCTAGGTAAAAACCGAAACCGAACCCGACTTTTCGGTTTCTAGAAAAAGTTCAAACCCTAACCATCGGTTTCGGTTTCGTTGGTTTTAGTCGGTTTTTCGGTTTCTTGGTTTGGGTTTGCTCACCCCTAATGAAAAGTTTCTAAGTTAAATAAACTGAAGGAAAACCTTCAAGAAGTATCGACATTCGTTTCCCAAGAAATTAAGATTCATGTAGTGGTTGGCCCGCTTTGTTAAAAGTGGAAACAATGGTAACCCGATTTTTTGATGGATATAAGTGTTAGTAAATTTTAATAAGTATATTAAAACATGAAAGCATAAAATTTGGATCTTAACATTTCGAATTTGGTTAAAAGAAACTTAAATAAGAATGAAGATTACATATTTGCTTCCATTGAGATTGTTGTACTTGTCAAAAGAGATTGTTGGATCTAATAAGCAAAGTTGGGTTTCTAGTTGATCTTAAATACTTTCTCTAAATCTTTGAGTAAGAAGACTCACAAATTTTTTGTGTGCATTTTTTTATGTTTGATATGTTTCTCATAATGTGTTTATATAGATGAAGATATAATTTAATATGAGAAATATTTGGCATTTAAAAGAGTTTGAGTGAACTGAGAATTCAACCCACAAGATAAACACTATCTAAAGTTTATATACTATTTAAAATCATTTCCTCAACAATTTTATATAATATTTCATATCAGTTTCGAATTTAATGATAAAATTATTTATATACGGTTATTAGTAGTCGCCAAAATATCTAACAATCTCTCACTCATTGAACAACGAATATCTAAATGTACATATAACCGTATAAACGTTATGTTATGTTATGGTTAAGTTCTTATGATTAGTTAGAATGATCAAGTCTTTACAAAGTAGTAGCAAAATGGGGCAAAAATGTGATCAATAATGTCAATCATACTATAAGTGTTATGCTATTGTAGAAATGTATTAAGACATGCTTCAATATTTATAAGAATTGAAATGATGTAAAATAAATATGATGTGTAAAAAAAGAAGCAATTCGGTCAAACCGGTAATTTGATCCTTATAATGGAAATTATGGTCAGCATTGTTTTATAAAAAGTTATTAATTAAATATTATGCATCTAGAAGTAGAATATATGGTATGCAAAACATTTAAGTACACGAAACGATATAATGTTAGAAATCAGATAAGTGGTTCACTTCACCCAATTTACATGCAATTTCTATTTTTTTTAATTTTGTTTTAATCATTTCTAATAAATAAAAGGTCTTTTTTCTACCTCTTGTCACACTCTCATTCAATTTGCCAAATATTATTTGTGGTTATTTTGAATTAATTTTTTTCACGTATCATTTTATGAGTTTTTCTATTTTATTAAATTTCACATAATATTTTAACGTAATAATTTGTAATAAATGTAGTAATAAATGAATATCAATTTCATTAATAAACTTATTTTTTAATTTCAAAATTCTCAAAATTAAGGTTCATTAGTTTCTTCTATTTATTTAAAGTATTAGTTTAAATTTAAAATATAAAAAATATTTCCATTATAATAATTCATTATTTTTCTTATTTTTTTTTATAAATTCAAAGTTCTTAAATATTTTGATCTTTATATTTAACTTTAAAAAAAAAAAGATTAACCCACGTAATACGTGGGTCTCTAAATTCCACATAATATTTTTATCTACTTTAATAAATAAAGGTTTTTTTGTCACTTGTTATACTCTCATTTAATTTCCAAATGTAATTTTGTGGTTACTTTAAATTAATTTTTTCTCACATGTTATTTTATAAGTTTTTCTATTTTTTAAAATTCTATATAATATTTTAATGTAATAATTGCAATAATTCCTCCTTAATAAATCAAAATCTTTTTGTTACATATCCTCTTCTGCTTCATTTGGAAACATGTTATTTTTAAAAAAATTTATTGTTTTTTATTTTCCACTTATCATTTTATTGTATTTTTTATTTTATTAAATTAAAATTCCACATTTAATATGTAAGGTAATATATGCAAGGTATTAATTAGAAAGTGTTTATATATGTAATGTATTCAATGTATTAAAGCCTCATTAATTTTAATAATTTAAATTTTTTCGAATTTTTCTTATAAATTCAAACTTTTCAAATTGTTAAAATTTCATATTTAATTTTTTTTTAAATAAACTCATGTAATACATGTGTCTCACACCTAGTGTAATAAGAAATAGATATCAATATCATTAATGAATTTACTTTTTAATTTCAAAATTCTTAAAATTAAAGCTCATTATTTATTTATTTAAATTATTTGTTTAAATTTAAAAGATAAAAAACATTACATTATAATAATTCATTATTTTTCTTATTTTCTTATAAATTCAAAATCCTCAAATATTTAGACCATTATATATATATATATATATATAAACCCATGTAATACATGGGTCTCACAATTAGTAACAAAATATATGGATTGTTTATTTTCTAAATTTCATAATCTTATTTAGGAGGTTAATTAGAGGATTTTAATGGCAGTTTTAGTTTCCAAAATTTGGCAGTTATATATAAAATGGTTTTGTAAGTAAAAATTATGTTATGCATCATTTACACACTACATCATTTATACACTACATCTTCAGTCATGCATGTAAGCAAAGAAGTATGAGTCTCCAAAAGGTTATAACATAATGTTTACCACTTCTAAGCATCATTAACCCCATAAAATTCACGTTTCAATACTAGACTAAAGGAAAAAGAAGGAAACATATCCAATGGGCTTTTTGGACTTGATCGGGCAATGATGTTATAAATTAAAAAATGAAAAAGAAAAAAAAAACCAAAAAACCGAACAACTGATTAGTGGTATTCAGTCTAATTCCCCCAATCCATCATTTTTGGCTTTCGATTCTTTCAGTTCGGTCCAGTTCGGGCCGGTTCCGATTCTGAACGCCTTAGATAGCACATTTTGTATTAGAACCAGAACCAGTTAATGCTATTCAGTCCAGTACTCGGTTCAGTACTCGGCTCCCCATTTAGTCCTTAATTAGTTTTCGGTTCCGGACCAATTTAAATCCCTAGACCATGCACGTTGTTTTAATGTCTTTTTTTTATATTATTTATTGTGATTTTTATTAAGAATAGTACTTTTATAAAAATACAGGACAAGACCAACCAAACAAGTAAACTCTACAAAAAGAGATGAAAATAATTCACAATAACAAAATGCTTGAACATAATTATAAATTCAATTGAAGGGCTATTTCTCCTTTTTTTTTTCTTTTATCTATCCTTTGTTTAGTCTAATATAAGATTATAATGATAATTGAAACTTTGAACATACAAACAGTAAGATCCCATTCAGATCATCAGATAAACTACTTAATAATATGTGCAGAGTATTCACCTCAAGGCTTGTGGATGAAAGCGACAAGCCTACAATCACAACCTTAGAAGGCATACCTTGCAAGATGTATACAAAATCATCAAACCATTACAAAACAGAATAGATATATCAAGCATTACCTCCAACCATTCTTGTATGCATTCAAAACAAAACCTATTAATTCGGATTACGGATTTACAATCACAATAATACACACATTCTAGCATGCATCACGACTTCACAAACATCAAAGTTTCCAATACAGGACTCCCTGCTATTATATTTTCAATCAGATCTTCATTTAAATGCACTTCACAAATCCACAAACTCCTAAGATTTTTCCAACTAATAGCCCCACATGGATTCAACATGCAGCCTTCTAATGTGAGATCTGTAAAACATGAACTGTTGAAGAAACATTGATCTAACAGAAACTTATCTCTCACGTCCACATTACGTATCATTAAATTAAGCTCTTCAACGTTTCGTCTTATAGCATAATGAATCCAATTGTTGAGTTGCGATCCAGAATGTATATCATAAAAGATAGACACTTCGAATTTTTTGAGCTTCAATTGGCGACATTGAGTTAGGGTTTTGTTGACGAACGAAAAGAACTTCCACGACGGAAGATTATGATCACTGAAAATCAGAGAAGGAACCCAAATCCAGAGATGTTTCCATCGCTTCGAGAGCGTACCTGTTCCAATAGCGTCTTTTGTGTAGGGTAAACGAGAGAGGATTTCAAGAAGCAAGCAATCTTGTAACGAACTGACTCGATCTTCTCCCCTCTCCTCCACGATTTCTTTGAACTTCATACGTTTTTTGGAAATTGTAGGTTGATTTTGTACTTCTTCCACGATTTCCATGGCGGTGAGGTCTCGCTGCTTTCCCACATGAAAATTTGCAGCAAAAATTAGGGTGTGTTTTGGGATTACAAAAGTTCCTTTTATAGTAAGGAATTTTGTTAAAAGCGGTGGGTATGGCCAATGCCCTTGGGACGATTTTAGGCGTTACAACGCACAAACCCCCCCCCCCCCTTCATCGTTTTTGGACGTTATACCGTGATGGTTTTGACAGGTTCTTCAAGGTGCCAATCTGCAAGCAAAATTAAGGAGGAACAGAGTATGGAGTAATAGAGAGAGAGAGAGCTGGGCAAATGCTTTGTGTATTATGGGATGAAGAAAAATGAGATCACGTTACAATGATTACATTGCCAGGGATTTAAACCAAAAAAAATGTGAAATACTAGGAAACAAACTACTTGCTTGAGACTCGGTATTACATATGACGAGTTCTTTATTCCTAAGTAAAACATAACGTGCATAATAAAATGATAACTTTTCTGAATTAAGCCAACATTCTCCCCCTAATTCAGAATCTTGTTGATCGAAATAACTCCAATCAAACTTCGCATTTCCTCAAACTTGACTCGTGCCATTGACTTTGTAAGAATGTCTGCCTTTTGTTTTGTACCACATACATGGCTCACTGTGATCTCCCCTGTTTCAACACATTCTCGAATAAAGTAGTACCTAATATTTATGTGTTTGCTGCACCCATGAAACACTGGGTTTTTCATTAAGTCAATTGCAGAGCTGTTATCTACCAACAATTCCACTAGAGGTACCTTTTGTCCCGTTATTGCTGTAAGCAATCTCCTAAGCCAAATTCCTTGGCAAGCTGCTTGAGTTGCTACCATAAATTCTGCTTCACACGATGACAGAGCCACACTTCGTTGCTTCTGTGAAGACCAAGTCACCAAATTTCCGTTCATATAGAACGCTGTACCACCAGTGCTTTTCCCATCCTCCATATCTTTGCCAAAATCGCTGTCTGAGTATCCTGTGAGGATGACTTTTCTATCTCCTCTTTTATACTGTAAGCCATAGTTCAAGGTACCTTTGATGTACCTGAGTATAGCTTTCATAGCTTGGGCGTGTTTTGTTGTTGGTTTCTCCATGAAGCGACTGATTACTCCAACAGAGAAAGAGAGATTGGGTCGTGTGTGTGTCAAGTACTTGAGAGCACCTACTATGCTTCGATATTTAGTGGGATTTGTCAACTCTCCTTCCTCATCCTTACGCAACTTCAGCTTGTGATCCATAGGAATTCTTGTTGCATTACACTCCATCATACGAGCTTTAAGAACGATGTTCTTTGCATACGATTCCTGCTTCACAGTTATTCCTTCTTCATTTTGATTAACTTCTATTCCCAAATAGTAGGTCAATAGGCCAAGATCGCTCATTTCAAACTTACCTTTCATTTCTGTTTTGAAATTTTCAACATCCTTAGCACAACTTCCAGTAACTAGGAGGTCATCTACATATACCCCCACGATCAAGGTATTCCCACTTTTCTTTCTTGTATACACAGAGTACTCTTGATAGCATCTAGTGAACCCCAAACTTTTCAGATGCTTGTCTAAACATGCGTTCCAAGCTCTGGGAGCTTGTTTAAGCCCATAAAGGGCTTTTAAGAGCTTATACACTTTTCCTACTTCACCTCCTTTCTCGAAACCTTCAGGCTGTGTTACGTATACTTCCTCTTCCAGTTTCCCATTTAAGAACGCCGATTTCACATCGAGATGGTGTACCCACCATTCATTTGACCCTACAAGTGCTAGAATGACTCGCACTGTCTCGATTCTAGCAACTGGTGTGAAAACTTCTTCATAGTCGATCCCCTGTTTCTGTACATACCCTTTTGCCACAATCCTAGCTTTGTATTTTGAAACTCTGCCACTTGGATCTCCTTTTACTTTGTACACCCACTTCAGTCCGATTGGCTTTCGTCCTTGAGGGAGATCGACTAGAGTCCAGGTCTTGTTTCTTTCAATTGAAACAATTTCTTCTTTCATAGCACTGACCCACTCCTTTTTCAGCTTTGCTTCATGGTAGGAGACTGGTTCTTCATCATTATGTACAAATAAAAGCTCTTCAGGGGGTAATTGAATCTCTTCTGTATTCTCGTACAAATCGTTGATGGTACGATATCGTTTTGGGGTGCCACCGCCAGTGGAACTAGAAGCGGTGTTCGGAGACGCGTTCAGGTTCGGTGAAGTTGGGGTCACTGGTGAGACGGGGAAATCATGTGTGGTGAAACGATTTGGATTTGGGTTATCATACAGATTTGGGCTATCATACAGATTTGGGCTCGACATTTGTGGCATAGTGGGCTCATCCGAGTCCGACCCAGAGTCCGAACCATGTTCAGACCCGTGTTCGGACCTGCTATCACAGGGTTCTTCATATTCATCTTCAATCGCCCCAAAATATGTGAAATTAAAACCATTGACCGTGAAACTCATACCTGGAATTGCCCGAATCTTGTCGCTCTCCCCCCAATTCCATGTTTGATTCTCTTCAAAGACGACATCTCGACTTACATACACCGAACCCGTGCTAGGATCCAACAATCGATGAGCTTTAGTCCCTCTTTAAGTACCGAGATACACCACTTTCTTACTCCGATCATCTAGCTTCTTTAGATGCCCTTTCATGATTTTCATGTGTGCTGTGCAACCGAAAACCCTTAGGTGCCCAACATTTGGCTTCTTTCCAGTCCACATCTCGTATGGTGTAGAATCCTTGAGAGCCTTGGAACTTATTCGATTTAGGATGTACACACTATGGCTGACAGCTTCTCCCCACAAGACATCAGGTACATTCATTGTTTTCAAACAGCTTCTTACCATTTCTAGAACTGTTCGATTTCTCCTCTCCACTATCTCGTTCTATTGTGGGGATAATGGTGAGGTGTAATGACGACTCGGGCCTGTCTCATCACAATATGCTGCAAATTGATTCGAGAGAAATTCCCCCCCTCGATCTGTTCTGAACAGTTTCAATTTTTCACCTGTCTCTACTTCTACTTTTTTTTTCTGAATGTCTTGAAAGTTTGAAGTGCCTCATCTTTTGTTTTCAATAGGTACACCCACATGATCCTACTGAAATCGTCTACAAGCAGTAGAAAATACCTATTACCATTAGGTGTTGATGGTGAGACAGGACCACACAGATCACCATGTATTAGTTCCAACCTCCTTTTTGCCCTGAAGCTAGTACATGAGGGGAACGGCTGTCTTGTTTGCTTCCCTACGAGACAACCTTCACAAGGCTTTGATGGGATCACCATCTTGGGAATTCCCTCAATCAATCCTTTATCAGCCATAGACTTGAGTGAGGTAAAGTTTACGTGACCTAACCTTGTGTGCCATAGCCATGTAGTGTCCTTTATTTCAGCAACTAGACACATTGTACTAACTTCTGCTAATTCAATCTTGTAGAGCCGATTTGGAGATTTGTGTACCTTCATTAGCAACCTTCCTGTGTTGTCCCGAACCCAAAGAAATGGCTCCTTTATCTTGATCTCATCTCATCCTTCTGAAAGTTGACCAAGACTGATGATATTGCTGCATAAGTCTGGTATGTTGTACACCTCCTCTAACTTTCTTTGTTCACCATTCTTGCATATGAATACCACAGTCCCCTTTCCTTCTATCTTGACTTTGGTTTCGTTTCCAAATTTAACATAACCATGAATTTCCGTGTTCAGGTTACGAAATTTCTTTTTGTCACCTGTCATATGATTGCTCGCCCCTGTATCCAAGTACCACAACTTCGATTGGTCTGGTTCTCCTCCTCTTGTCTTTAACTTAGGGTGAACATTTTCTTCATTCAAAAATACCTCACCAGTTTCTTGTTTGTTTTCCAGGGACATTAATAGCAAGGCTGGCTCGCTATCTTCTTGGATCAGATTGTTCTCATAGCTTCTTTCCTTTCGTGGGTTTGTGCATTCAGATGCATAATGCCTGAATTCTTGACAGTTGTAGCATTGAATGCTACTTTTGTCTCGACTGCCAGAAGCCCCATTGCTGCCTTCTCGTTGATGGTGTCAGTTGCCCCTCCCACGACCACCACGACCACCTACACTCCTGCTTCTTCCTCTACCTCTACCACGTGAGTTTCCAGATCCTCCTTTTTCTGTCTTAGACTTAGAATCACCTCCTCCCTTCTTCTTGTTTTTTTCTGTCCACTCTTGATGAGTTAAAAGAAGTTTTCTCTCTTCTGTCTCAGTGTGACCTCTCATCCTTTCTTCATGTGCTTTTAGCCTCCCAATAACCTCTTTTACTGTCATCTCCTCTAGGTTGCCAAATTGTTCAAGAGTTCACCACATAGGACTCTTCTACTGTGTCACCAAGGGTTCTCATGGAACTAACGATATTGCTAACCTTCACAGCGAAATCGTCTACAGCCTCCGCCTCCTTCATGGTAAGTGACTCGAATTCTGCCTTTAAAGTCTGAATTCTCTCCATTTTTACTCTATCTGCCCCTACAAACCGTGTCTTTAATGCTTCCCACGTGTCTTTGGCTGTTTTCTTCTCAGCCACAGACATCAAAAGATCCTCTGGGATCCCTTGATAAATTGCTACTAACGCCATCTTATCCTTTCTCGTGTCAACAGCTGTGTTTGGGGTTCTGGGCTCCACCGCTTCCCAAACACCATGAGCCTGCATATACACCTTCATTTTAATCGCCCATGCGCCATAATTGGTTCTCGACAACATTGGATACTGTAAGGTAATCTGACCCTCTTTTTCCCCATTTCCATTGTTTCCTGTCATTTCTTCACGGGATTGATACTTGGGCATACACCAGGGTTGCTCTGATACCACTTGATGGTTTTGACAGGTTCTTCAAGGTGCCAATCTGCAAGCAAAATTAAGGAGGAACAGAGTATGGAGTAAGAGAGAGAGAGAGAGAGAGAGAGAGAGAGAGAGAGAGCTGGGCAAATGCTTTGTGTATTATGGGATGAAGAAAAATGAGATCACGTTACAACGATTACATTGCCAGGGATTTAAACC